TCCTCATCCTCATCCTCATCCTCGTCCTCATCCTCATCCTCCTCATCCTCCTCCTCTTGCGCCCCCCGGGACTGGACGGCTTGGCAGCGCGCGCGCGGCCTCGGCGCCCGCCGCCGCGCGGCGCCGCCCACCTGTGGGCCTTTTGCCCCTCGTGGGCCTCTTGCTTTCACCATCTTTTTGTGAACCTTCTGCCTCCGCGCGCCGCTCCTGCTCGGTATTCTGCTCCGCTGCCGCCCTTAGTGGGCCCTGGAAACGACAGGGCCGTTGTTGTTAACGGTTCCATTTTGCAGTTGTTTTTGCCGGTTCCGACGCTGGTTTTGTACCGGTTCCGTCGCCGTTTCTTGACCGGCTCCGGGTCCAATCCTGGAGCCGGGCGCCATCGCCCGGCTCGGGGCACCGGGATGCCAGGCCTCCCACGGAGTAGATGGGGTCGGAGGATCGCGCCGCATCGCCGATGCATCGCCGATGCGGCTCGATGCGGAGCCCGATTTTCTCCACGTCAATGTCGCCGATGCGTCGCCGACGTCGGCGATGCATCTTCGGTGCATCGCCGATGCATCGGCGATGCATCGCGGATGCATCGCCGATGTATCGCCGATGAGGCGCGATCCTCCGACCCCATCTACTCCGACCCCATCTAGGAGACCTCCAGGGATCCTCGCGGATCGGTCCGGCTCGAATCTGGCGCAGAAAGGTGGGGTTCGGGGCTAGTGATGTTGCACGGTGTTGCATTGTTTCGCTACCTCGGATCTCAGGGTTCACCAGGTCCGATTCTGGCCGTGGCATGTCTCCATCAGCCAGACAAGCAGCGGGCAGAGGAGCTTGACCGCTTGGGAGCATCTTGGACCATCGCGAGGGGGAAGCGCACACGCACGAAAGCAAACAGTTCACGGGGAGCGGACGTCCAAGCGATAGCAACAACCATCGCGGATGTTTGCTAGTGTAGAGCAACTCGTGTGGCAACGTGCATCACAATTTCATGAGAAGTGACCCTACAGGATGGATTTGGATTGGGTTCATCCCGCCACCGTGCCTGTGCCTTGGAAAAGATGATCTTGCGGCCTCTTGGAGGTCTCCGGGGGATCTCATGGGGTCCTCTTCCAGGCCTCTTGGGCCCTCTTGAACGCGTTTAAGCCTGAATTGCCGAAAATGCAAAATCAACCTCGAGCTGATTTCTGTGTGGTGCCTCGGTTCGGCCGCGAGGGTCTTCCTATTGGGGCTCTTTTTGGGGCCAGGACATTCGGGACCCGCGGACTCCCGAGGGGTCCCTGAGTTGCGCTCTCGGCCCCTAAGATAACACTTGCGCCGTTCAGCACGACCAAGCGAGTACGAAATGCTGGGGGCGGGTCGCAGCGTCCCACAGGGAAGTAGGCGGTTACATACATCTTCCCGCTTCGTCGTCGTTGTCGCCGTTCGCAGCCAGCGACCCAGACGAGAACCCATTGTGTTGTTTTTTTGTATTTTGTTTATCGTTCCTGCCCGTTTCTTCCCCACGCAGTTCTTGCGCTTGGGGGCTTTTACTCCTAACGAAAGAACTGGCCATGTCTGCCGCTCTGGCGGCTATGTGGCTGCCGTCGCCGCCCTGTTGCCGCCTCGTCACCGCCCGTCTGGGCTTGTCTGCTGATCTGGTGGCTACCTGGCCGCCGTCGCCGCTTCGTCGCCGCCCGTCGTCTGGGCCGGTCTGCTGCTCTGGCGGCGATGTTGCCGCCGTCGCCGTCCAGTCGCCGCCTCGTCGCCGCCCCGTCGCCGCCTAGATTGCACAACATACATTCTATTTTTTAAATGGAATATAAGTTGTACCCCCCCCCCCGGACATCGATCCCCCGGGAACCTATGCAAAACACAGATGATTCTGACCGAATGTCCATCGTACCTGTGAATTCAGACTATCCCAGCCAAGCCGGTATCGGTCCCCCTTCGGGCCCTTGCAAAAAGTACTATGCGCGCACGTTCGTGCATCACAAATCAGATGCTTCCAATAATCTTTTGCAAACAATGGGACGAAGTGAACACGCGTGCGTCGTCGCGCGCACATGCCGAAATCCTAAAACAAATGGTTTTGGAGAGGTTTCAGAATCGAGTGCCCCAAAAATAGTTAAAAAGAACACCTGTTTTCGCAACACGGATGTTCAACAAAAACGTGCGCGCGAGTTCTTGCGAATTCTTAAGAGAACTATCGGGTTTCAACATTTTCATAAAATGCCACCAGACGGGCATCGCGCGCACGTGTCGAAATCGCTCGAACGCCCGTGGCGCGCGTGCTGGGGTGGCACGATCCGTCTCAAATAATATCATGCGATCCACTCTCGCGCGTTTGCCGCGCGCACATTTCGAATTTCTTCCACAACATTCATCACCGACGCGAAGGCGCCGTCATCGTCGCCGGCGTGATCAGCATCGGCGCCGTCATTGGTTGCCCCGTCGTCGCTGTCAGCATCGTCGCCAGCACCGCTACTATCATCATCGTGTCTACCGTTGTCGACGTTGCACGCGCGCGTCGTCGCGCGCGCATGCCGAAGTCCTTGAAACACTTTCGGTTTCGACAGGATGTAAACATCGCTTGTCCAAAAGATATTACTCAACAACACAAGGTTTCGCAACACAGATTCTCCAAAAAACTTACACGCGCGCCCTTGCGACATCTTGAGAAAAAACCATCGGTGTTTCAACATTTTCAAAAAGTACTACCAACCGGGCGTCGCGCGCGCATGTCGAAATCTTTCGAACGCCCTTGCACGCGTGTTGTCGCGAGAGTCCATTCAACAAAAACGGGACGAAGTGCACGCGCGCGCGTGGTCGCGCGCGCGTGCCGAAATCTTTCAAAAACTCTCCGTTTCGGAAGGTTTCCAAGATCGTCTGTCCAAGAAAACATAAGATACAAATGCTTTCGCAACACGGATGTTCAACGAAAGCGTGCGTGCGCGCTCTTGCGTCGTAGTCGTCGTCGTCGCCGTCTTCCCTTCTCCCTCGTCGTCGTCGTCGTCGCTGTCGTCGTCCTCCCTCCTCTCTCGTCGTCGTCGTCGTCTTCGTTGGAGAGGTAGTCGTCGTCGTCTTCGTCGTCGTCGCCGTCCTCCCTTCTCCCTCGTCGTCGTCGTCGTCGTCGCTGTCGTCGTCCTCTGTCTCGTCGTCGTCGTCCTCTTTCGCGTCGTCGTCGTTTCCGTCGTCGTTGTCGCCGTGGTCATCCATCCTCCTCCCTCGTCGTCGTCGTCGTCCGTCGTCGGCCTCTCGTTGTCGTCCCTCCTATTTTCGCCGTTGTCGTCGTCGTCGTCATCTTCCCTCCTGCGTCGTTGTCGTCGTCGGCGTCGCCGTTCTTCATTCGTCGTTCGCGTCGTCGCCGTCCTCCCTTCTCACTCGTCGCCGCAGTCGTCCTCCCTCGTCGTCGTCGTCGTCGTCTTCATCGTCGGCGTCGTTGTCGCCGTCGTCGCCGTCGGCGTCGTCGTCGTCGGCGTCGGCGGCGTCGGCGTCGCCGTCGTCGTCGTAGTTGTCGTCGTAGTTGTCGTCGTCGTCGAAGTCGTCGGAGACGTCGTCGGTGTCGTCGTAGTCGTCGTCGGCGTCGTCGACGTCGTCGCTGTCGTCGTCGGCGTCGCTGTTGTTGTCAAGTGACATTTGGTACCCACAGTCACGGTCTTAAGAAGTCTTGCGACCAAGTTGAGGGTGGGAGGGTGCAGTAGAGAGGACAGCTTCAAGACGGTCAAAGTGACTTGCACCGCATAGCTTTGCACCACATGGGTTGCACCACACAGAGCACAGCAGCTCCAGGGAAGGTGAGCCAGAGGACCCGTCCGAGCACACAGGAGCGGTGCCCCCCCAACGATGACATCAGCGCCACGCCGCAACCATCCCTCGTCCTCCTTCTGCTGGCCCGGGTGCTACACCCAGCGCCGCGGCCGTCCCTGTCCAGCGCCGCGCTCGGCACGTGGCAGCGCGACGCGCGGAGGCGTCATCTGACGGCGGCCGAGCAAAGGCGCTCCACCGGCGGCGGCACGCAGCACCGCGGTCGGCTGGCTTCCGTGAGGGCCAGGGGACCCCACCCCAAGAGTGTTGTTCGGCGGCGGGCGAGGGGGGGAAGTGAGAAGGAGAAGGCCTTCTCAGAAGGTTCGGAAGTCCCCTGGCCTTCTGAGAAATTTTCTAAGCCTTCCCCGAAGACAGACACAACCTCTCAGAAGGCGCGAGGGCTTCTGAGAAGTCACGCCGCCTTCTGAGAAGGCCTTCTCCTTCTCACTCCCCCCCCTCGCTCGCCGCCTAGTTGTGGATTCGGGTGGCTTTGATGAGGAGGAGGGAGCTCCCGACCCGCCCTGCACACCCTGCACAACGCTGCCGCCAGGCCCACAGGTGTGCTGGTGCTCCCCGGAGGTCCCACGTGGCGCACTTGACGAGTGCCGATGGCAAGCCGCGGCCGCCAGGTCCAACGCCAGCGCATGCTTCGATGCTCGTTTTGGGGACCTTCTTGGAGCCCACCTAATGGATCTGTTCGACTCATTTTCGACTCAAGTTCGACTCAGGTTCGACACAGATTCTACTCAGATTCGACTCAGGTTCGACTCAGGTTCGACTCAGGTTCTACTCAGGTTCGACGCAGCTTCGACGCACGAGTGGAGCGAGTGGCTCCAGGAAGGTCCCCAGAATGAGCATCTAAGCATGCCGCTTCGCGTGCTTGGGTGGGGGTGTTTCGGAGCAAGCTAATAGTTCTGCGGTTCTGATTGGGGTGTGGGAAATGGTTTGTCCGTTGGGGGGCCCGTCGGTTTTCCAAGAAGGTGTGGTGCTTCATCGGGGGTGGCGCGCTGGCGGATGCCCCACGGCGTCGTGTCATAGGCACTGCTTGTGCTCCCCCAGTCGGGGTGGGCTGTGGGGGTCCTGCACGGGTCAACGGGGAACAGGAGCGCGGCCACGGATGAGATCGTTGGAGGCAACAGCGCGCATTAAAGGCAAGTCTGTCGCCCTCATGAGGCAAGCAGTGCTTGCCCTCAAACATTGGTCGTTCAGTGAGGTCGCCTGCGACTTATCACTCCTCGGGGATGCTCTGTGGGTCTGGTAGCCGCGGCTCTGGTATTGTGGGGCTCTGACAAAGTGGCGTCGCGAGTCACGAAGTGCGACGCGCAGTGATGCTCCTGACTCGGAACAAATATCAGATAACGGCGATGTCGTGATCCACGATCATGGTTGTTGCACGGCGCCATGATCCTTTCACGGCGTAGGATGCTTGGAAGGATTCGTTCGTTGGCCTTTGGCAGGCATGCCTAGTTATTGAAGGGATGAATCGTTCCAGTGCGGTCTGGACGCTCTTGCAGCGCTCTATAGCTCCCTAGATGGTCTGCGATGCACGATATTTTATCTCCGGACCCGCCAGTTTTCAGAGATCCTCGAAATGTCCCAACGCAGGTGTGTGTGTGTGTGTTCATAGTGTTTTCGCCCCAGTCATGCAGGTTTGCTTGGTTCCAGAAAGTACGGCGGCATCAACACCAATAGTGGGGCCGCCTCCATAAGGAGGAGATGACATTCGAGTCTATGATGTGATGATGGTAATCTGAATGCCCCATAATCCTCCTGAAGCTTACCACCATAACCGAGATCGGGGGGCATCTTCCCTCTCTGGGGGCGACCAATGCTGGAGGGCCCATTTTGATCCGAGCGATTCAATGGGGTGTCAATTTCAAAAGGCTTGATCCGATTCGACTCCGATATGCTGCCGATCCGATGCGGCACGATACTTGCGTGGCGCTCTGCACATTGGCGCAACCGAGCCGGTTCGATCTCGACTCCATGCCGATGCGGCCCGATCCGATTGGCGCAGCCGATCCGATTCGGTCTCGACTCCGTGCCCATGCGGCCCGATCCGACGCTCGGTCCGACTTCCCGACTCGACGCCGACCGTTCCTGCCACTACTTTCAGACCTGCAGTGGCGGCCAGCAGACCGCGGCGTCAGCGACGGTGGCCCTCGCGCGTGGACCTTCGTCTCAAGGGCGGCAGCGTTGGGGGTGGATAGGCTTAAGTCTGGCATGTCCCTCTGCAGGAGGAATGTTCAGACTTAGTAGATACTCTGGGGGCGATTATTTTTCATTATCTGACTATTTTGAAATATCTGTTTTGTTCTTTGTGTGTTTCGCCCAAAGTCGCCTGTAGGGGGACATGCCCGACCTAGACTCAGGGGGGGATGCATCGGCCCCCAATCGCCCGATAGGGGCCTGGGCTCACCCCGCCCAGGCGCGTGTGGATGTGCCGCGGGGGGCCCATGCGGCTCGTTTCGATTCCTTCGATTCGATTCCGACCGCTTCCGATTCCGATTCGAATCGACTTGGGATTCCGATTTGGGTGCCGATTTCTTATTGGACGCATGCTAGCCTGCCGACTTCTGCCGATTCCACTTTTCCCGAATCGGCAGCCGATGTCCGCCGATCCGATTCATTTCGATCGCCGATCCGACTCATCGATTCGGTTCTGGGCTCGCATGCCCTGGGCCAGTCTCCCCCTAACGTTGCCCCTTATTGTTGGTGGCCACCGGACCGCGGCGGGAGCAACGTCGGCCCGCCCGCGTGGGCTTGCGCCCTGTCTCACCAGCGCCGCTTTTGCTGCCAATGCTGTGCTGCCTAGGGGAGGCCGATGTGGTCGAGGTTCAGCCTTCTTCCCCCCACCCCGCACCCTTTCCGCTCCCCCGTCCTCCGCTCCAGACAGGCCCAGGACGAAGACAGAACGTTCCAGTCGAGCCAAAACTCAAGAGGGAAACAACAAACACAGACACAATGAATCGTCGACTCCCAGGAAAACATGGGAAAATACTGGAAGTGGGGGGGAAGACAAGAGCCCAGAAAATATGGTAAAATGTGGGGAATTGTTTTATTTGTTTGTATTTATTTGTGTGTCCCAGGCCCCTTCAAAAACGAACGACACAGACGACTTCTCGAAGGTCCGCGCGGGCTCCTTCGATCGGCGCCAAGACTTCGTGGGCGGCGCCTCCGCCCCAGGCAGGCCCAGGACGAAGACAGACCGTTCCGGCCGGGCCGAAACGAGCGACACAGACACGCTTCTCGAAGGTCCGCGTGTCAGCCACGCGCAGTGGGGGGTGGGGGGAGGGGGGAGGGTTTCTTAGAAGCACCTCTGCTTCTCAGAAGGCGCGGGCCTTATATATATAGATATAGATATAGATATAGATATGTATAGATATAGACATGTATATCAATATGGAATTAGAGAGAGATGTAAGGCCGGTGCCTTCTAAGAAGCAGCCTGTTTCTAAGGAGCCCTCCCCCCTCCCCGCACCCCCTTGTGCGCGCCGCCAAGCGTGGGTTCCTTCGATCGGCGCCCAAACCCCGTGGGCGGCGCACCTTCGGCGGCGCCCCCGGCGCGCGCCGCGCGCCGACCAGGAAGTCCAGAGCAGCCGCGTGGACCTGCGACAGGATCTTTTTGATGGAGGTTGTTCGTCCTCGATCCAGACGATGTTCCTACGCCCCCTCCTCCTCCTCCTCCTCCTCCTACTCCTACTCCTACCCTCCTCCTCCTCCTCCTCCCCCTCCCCCTCCCCCTCCTCATCCTCCTCCTCCTCCTCCTTCTCCCCTTCCCCCTCCCCCTCTTTCTCCCCCTCCTTTTCCTCCTCCTCCTCATCCTCAGGGCGTTCTGGAACGCTCTGAGTGCATTTCTGCTCGCTCTGAGACGGCCGCGGCGCAGGATGCATCCTTCGAGCAGGTCACGGGGAGGGCCGCGACAGACTGGGTTGTTGCATAATTGAGGCGCTACGTTGCAATGTTGGGGCGCTGCGTTACGGCCCAGAGATGTTGCGCCGTTGCGTTGAGACGCGGAAAGGGTTCCTTTTGCAACATGGAGGCGTTGATTTAAAACGAAACAGTCATTTTGCGACACGGAGACGTCGCGTCACTGCGGTAATGTCCCCCGACCTTGCGCCCCCCCCTACGTCTTGCGAACATCCTCCAGAGCCGCCAGGTCTCTGGATTTTCCTATGTATTTCATCCGGCAGTATCTTCATCGTGCCTTCGTCTGATCCCCAAGGAGCAGGAGGCGGGGGGATGATGAGGCGGAGGATGGTCGAGGTCGAGGTTCGGGCGATCATTGTCTTTGGCAGCCCTCCAGGGACCCCCACCCCCAGATCCTCCTCCCATGTTTGTCCTCGTTCGTCCTTCTTGTCCGCACTCCCTCCGGACCTCCCCCCATCCTCCCTTGATACCAGTGGCCCGCCTGCTGTGGCAGGCACAGAGCCGCTTTCATGTGCCCCTCCTCCTCCTCATCGTCGTCATCCTCGTCCTCGTCCTCATCGTCATTATCGTCATCATCAGCATCATCAGCATCATCAGCATCATCAGCATCATCAGCATCGTCATTGTTATCGGTATCGTTGCCATCGTCATCATCAGAGCTTGTTGTTTCTCTCGCGGTGCCGTGCCTGGACCCCTCGGGCGGGGGGCCCTGGCGTGCCGCTTTTCCGGCTGGGCCGCTGGCGGCCGGGAGCCTTCGGCAAACTCCGCGTGGGCGGCCCAGCCTTACGCCACCAGGAATCGACGGTCAGTGGAGAGGGTGCGTGCTGCCAAATTGCTCCCAGAGGTCGAAACATGTCTTCAACATGTCCAGCACACGCGTACAGTCCTGCTCTTTGAGCATTTTTTTACACCAGTGCTCCTATCTGTTTACTTCGACGCTGGGATTGTTAGGGTGTCCTCGGTCGTGGCATCCACAAGGGAGCGTGGTGGCGGCGCGGCCCTGGGCCTCGCAGACTGGCCGTGGACCTCGGGCCCGCCCTGGGCGTGCGCGTGCGCACGACGACTGCCGAATGAGACTGGGCGAGCGTTGCTCCCATCCCTCCTCGATTGGCGCCCGATCCTCCTCCTCCTCCTCCTCGATCCAGACAGTGTTTCTCCTCCTCCTCCTCCTCCTCCTCCTCCCCCTCCTCCTCCTCCTCCTCCTCCTCCTCCTCCTCCTCCTCCTCCTCCTCAACAAGGTGGCTCCCAGTCGAGGCCCCGCAGCCGTCCTGCCCGCCGCGGCGGCGCGAGGCGCGCGTTGGCCCGCGACTGGGGAGCCCCCAGCGCTGGGAGCAGGCGCGGGTTCGGCACGGCCGCCCGCCTCGCCCCCCTGCGGACGGGGGCCGTGCGCTGTGGCATGAGCTGCGTCGGCGCGTAGCGAGGATGCCGTAGGCTAGGCCGTGGTGTGGGCCCGTTTGCAGAGGTGGCCTTCCAAGGCAGCGAACCGCGGCCGCCGACGCGCCGACCGCAGGCTCCACCTGGCCACCTGCCGCCACGTCGAGGTGGACAACTGGGCGGCCCAGCTCCAGACGTCTCGGCCCTGGTGGGGCCCCCGTGGGCGGGGACCTACGAGGAGTAGCACGGCCAGGAGGACAGACCGAGTGATGCTGCGCGGCAGCTCCAGGGAGACAGACCCTGCGCGTGCGAGAGAGACGGGCAGCGGCAGCTCCCACGGAGAGAGAGAGAGAGAGAGAGAGAGAGAGAGAACAAAAAAAAAAAACGAGCTCGCGCGAGAAGGACGGACAGCGGCAGCTACACGAAGACGGACACTGTGCTTGCGAGAAGCAAATGCCTGCGAGAAGCATGGGCAGTGGCGGCTTCGAGAGGGCACCGACTGCACTTGCGAGAGGGCCCGGCAGCGGCAGCCTGCCTGCGATAAGGACGGACAGTGGTAGTTTCGAGCCGACGGGCAGTTGCAGGTTCAAGAAGACGGACCCTGTACGTGCGTGAAGGACGGGCAGCCGTTGCTTCAGGGGGGCCAAGACCGTGCGTGCGAAAAGGACGGGCAATGGCAGCCTCAAGCGGATGGGCAGTGGCGGGTCCCGCGGACGGGCATTGGCAGCCTCGAGCAGACGGGCAGTGGCAGCTCCAAGCTGACGGACACTGTGGACAGGCAGTGCCAGCGTCAAGCGGGCGGGCAGTGGCAGCCCCAGGCCGACGGGCCGTGGTAGCCCAGGCCGACGGGCGCGTTCAAGAGGACCGAGACCGTGCATGCAAGAAGGACGGGCAGCGGCAGCCTGAGACGGACTGGCAGTGGTCGCCTCAAGCGGGCGGGCAGTGACAGCCGCAAAGGGTCGGACCTTGTGCGTGCGAGATGAGCGCGCAGTGGCAGCTCCGTGAGGGCCGGGACCGACCTTGCGAGAAATACGGGCAGTGGCAGCCTCAAGAAGCCGGACCACGCGCGCGCAAGAAGGGCTGGCATTGGCGGCCTCCAGCGCGCGACGAAGACGGGCAGTGGCAGCCTCGTGCGCGCAAGAAACACGGGCGGTGGCAGCAGAAGGGCGAGCAGCGCGAGAGGGGCGGGCAGTGGCAGCAAATGGCGAAGGACGAGCCAGACGGCAGCCTCCGCGAGGGGCGCAGCGCGGGCGAACTTTGCGAGAAGGCCGCGAGGTCAGAGGCGAAACTAAAGCCAAGCAGGACGAGCTATTTCTACAGACGCAGAGGTGGAGAAGAAGGCACCCAACGCCATCAGCTACAGCGCCAGCAGGGCCACGTGGAGAACCCGAGCGAAAATCGCCAAGACGCGGCTCGAGGGCGGCGAGGCGATGGAACCCGACGCTATCAGCTGCAGCGCTGGAATCCAATTGGAACCGGCGGGCATCCATGGAGAACGGGGGCCCCTCACGATAGCAGACCAGAAGGTGGAGAGGCGATATCAAAGAGATCCCCGCCCAGACGGTAAGAACAGCGGCGCGTTCACCCTCGCTGGAGCGAGCGGGAGGGCCCCGTGGCCCCTCAGAGCCGACTTCGACGCCACGCCCACGGGAGCCGCGAGGGCGGAGGCTTCGAGCACAAGCGTCAGGATACGCCGCGCGTGAGGAGCTGGAGGGAGGAGGGGCGCCCGCCCGCCGCGTGGGGGAGCGCCCGCCGACCGCGGGCCGCCCGCGGGGACCCGCGCGGCACGCGGCGGCTGCCACAGAGTGGTCGCCCGAAACTGTTTCGAAACGGCTCCTCCTCCTCCTCCTCCTCCTCCTCCTCCTCTTCCCCTCCTCTTCCTCCTCCCCTCACCCTCCTCCACCTCCTCCTCCTCTCCTCCTCCTCGTCCTCCTCCTCCTCCTCCTCCTCCTCTCCTCCTCCTCCTCCTCCTCCTCCTCCTCCTCCTCCTCCCCCCCTCCTCCCCCTCCTCCTCCTCCTCCTCCTCCTCCTCCTTCTCCTCCTCCTCCTCCTCCTCCTCCTCCTCCTGCTCCTCCTCATTGTCGCCATCATCATCAGTATCAGCCCCTTGCTCCGGCACCTGCCCGAGCGGGGCTTCTCGGGCGCGCCTGCGCCCCCCGCGTCTCTCCCCCCCTCGCGGCCCTCGCGCGCCCCTGCCAGGTGCCTGCCGGCACCCGCGGTCGCGTCTTCCGAGCTGCGCCGGGTGCGACGCCGCTTGGTTGGGCATGCTGATGTTCGGTTTGACACTGGGTGGACTCAGCGCGCAGACTGGTCCAAGACGAGGAGATTGGAGGTTGGCGGAGAGCTGCCTTGCCATATTCACCAGACAGTGCAGAGCTCTGTCTTGACATTGTGGATGAGACTTGCCTCTGGCAGCACGCTGGGAACTGCGGTCACCTGCGCGCGGATGGCACCAGCGAAACTGCGATATGGATCGCCGCGCGCATTGGTGGTGTTCCTCCTTATGCTGAGCGGCTTCCTGGTGGCGGTGACGACGGCGATGCGCGGGATGGTGACCGTGACCCTCGTGGTTTGAGACGCCGACCCGCCCCTGATCCTGAAGCGCGTGGGCATCTACAATTTCATGGGTCGGGCCCGTGGCACATTGGAGTTGGGTCGATCGGTCTTGCAAACTCAGGAGGCCTGTTTTGGGTGGCCCCAGAGGAAATGTTACAGTAACGCGCCGTCCGATGTTACAGTCGGGCGGCGTGCTTTTAGAGTAACACGCGGGGTGAAGTTACAGTAGGTTGCTCTCGCGATTCGTGGCAGGGGGCGAACCCTGGGCGGCGCGACGTGGCATTGAGGAGGTTTCACGCGATATCGAGGTTTTGGGAAGAGGAATAGCTCTCAATCCGTGCACCGCTGAAACATTCCAGGCTTTAGGGTAGTTGCGTGGGATGGGGCTGACTAAGGAGGGAGGAGTGGATGAGGCTGTCTTTGCGTCGCAGGTTTGACGCCAGCTATGTCAGTCTTTGCTAACACCGAACGCATTCCGATTATCATGAATCCATTCCGCCGAGGGAGAATGCCTAATCATCTGCACCGTCGTCATCCATCTTCGGCTTCCTCCCTCATCCTCTCGCCCTTCCGCAGGCAGGTTTTGTTCAAACCACGCTGTCGCAGTGTGGGTCGACCACCCTGGTTTTTGCCGCGCGGTTGCCTTGCGGGGCTGCTTTCTGTTCGGCGCCTGGTGTTTTGCAACCTTCTTCGTTGATCTTCAGGGGCCTTTTTGAAGCGTTGTTGGTGTCCGCAGTTCGGTTAGATTTCTGGGCTCTTTCGTTGGGCCTGTCTGCTGCTGTCGTCTGGGTGGCGGATGGGTGGTCCGAACCGTCGCATCTTTCGCGTTGCGCGTGCCGGTGATGCGATCAGAGTGCGATCCGCGTTCCTCCTTCTCTTCATTCTCCTCCGCCGCCTCCTCCTCCGCCTCCTCCTCTTCTCTCCGCTCTTGCGGCGTTTCTTCCCCTTCCTCCTCATTCGTTTTCTTTCCACCCCAGCTGTTTCAGTTTGACCGTTTTGGCCCAACATGGTGCCGTAGGTGCGGGTTCCACAGCGCCGGTTTCATGTATTCGGTTTCTCGGTTGTTGCAGGATTGGCGGTTGAGCGGTGTTTGACGCCTTCGAACGTTTTCAGAGACACCTTGAGCTTGGGCGCTAGTCTTCACGTCTCTCCCAGTTCGGCCCTGGGCATGTCTTTGATGGTTCGGTCGTGTGTCTGTGCCTTGAGATGGGCGCCCATCTGTCTCGGGTCGCACTTCCTTCGGTTCTGCCGTCTCTCTTGCGGGATCTGAGATTTAGCGCAGCATCCAGCTGGCGACGGCCACGTCGTCTTCTCCTCCTTGCTCTGGGGATGCCCGGGGCCGCTCTTTCTTCCCCTCGTCCTTGCGTGCTTCGCGTTCTTGTTCTCGGTGTCCTTGTGCGTTTCTGGAATGATGGTTCGTTGTCCCCTGTCGCTGTGCATTCGCGTGTTCTCCCATGGCCCCTCCTTCTGGCTCGGGCGGCGCGATGGCGGTGGTCAGCTCGTTTGGGAGTTGCTGTAACATCGCGTCTGGTGGGAGTGCTGCGGGGTCTCGTTGAGTTGAGTTACTGTAGCATTATCGGCCCCGCGGTCCTACTGCAACATCGTAGTTTGTGTTTTGCTTCGGTTGTTCTCAACGATGCAGTCACGTCTCTGGTGTCTCTGGGCGAGGCTGCCCTGGAGTTGCAGCAACTCGCGCGGGCGTTGCGATGCGTCGCCGCTCGTGCTCCATTGGCCGTTGCCTGGTGCTACAGTCACTCTCCAGTTGTCGTTGCACGGCGCAGTTTCGCGAAATTTCCTATCCCCCGCCCGCGCCATGAAACAGGTGCAGCAACTCTCTGCGCGTTGGCAGCGCCGCGCATCCCCGTGCGTCAACCAGCGCCCATGCCCCAGTGTCGACCAGAGCCCAGATGACATGATCTGCGTTTGAAGCCGGAGTTGCATTCTGTCGTCACCTATGGGAAACATATTCGCTTCCGTTTGTTTGGCAAGTTCGGGTTCTGGGGTGGGGAAGTTTCGCGAGTAACGGTCTGTCAACTATCTATAATTGTTGGCTGGCCGTTTTTGGGCGTGCAGGCCCAAGCGCCATCGTGTCCCGGCCGCGTGGCCGATAGACGCGTGCTAGAGGACTGTCCGCTCGAATCTTCGCGCCTGGTGAACCGTCGCTTGGGACGAAATGTCAGAATTCCTTGCGCGTTGGCACATCCAGCGGATTTCTTCCGCAGGTTCCACTGCGCGAACATCTTCGGCTACCGCGCAGAACGACCTGCTCTCAAGTCCCCCCGCAACCGCAGCCTTTCACGCCCCCCTCCCGACCTCCCCGTCCTCGACCTCTTCTTACTTTCTGCGCCCGCGGCTGCGGTGAAAGGTCGCCCCCATTGCCCCCCCCCTCTTTGCGCCGCGGTGCTCGTGCCGCATGCGTCACCCCGCCCTGTGGGATTGTTTCTGCAGCAGGCCCAAGAAGCAGTTGCGTTGAATCCTGGGCTTCAAACGCTGAGTGGCTTTGCGCGCGTCCCCGCCAACGCGCGCGATGCCATCCAGTGGGCCCAGACACATCGATCCCCTTGATGGGCACAGGAGGAAATGTAATGCGCCCCCCCTTCCAGAAACGGGTGGACGGCGCCTCGCCTTGCGCACTCCCTTTGGCGGGGTTATTACGCGCGCAAGCACTGGAAACAGCATTGCGTGAATCTCAGGGTGTCAAGCCTGACCAGAGGAGGAGGAGGTCGAGGTAGAGGAGGAGGATAATGAGGAGGTGTTAATCGCGCCGCGTTTGACATGTATTTTACAGTATAAGTGCATGGTAGATTTCTGATGACAACCGTTTGGTTGCTGGGTCGTTTGAGATTGCGTGGGTGGTTGCTTCAGTGAGTGGCTGGCGACTGTTGATGCCCAGGTGGCCGTCCACGTCGCTCGTTGGTTGAGTGGGGCGCGATCGCTGTCTTCTCCATCCCCGTCTTGGCCATCGCGCAATTAATCTTGCCACGTTGATAGCATCTCCCCCTTCAGCGCCCGCATCATCTGAGGAGCTCCGCGAATTTGTTAGAGAGCGAGAGATAGAGAGAATGAGAGAGAATGAGAGAGAATGAGAGCGCCTTAGTTGTAACTAGCTCTTCGGCGCCATCCCCAAGCGCAACGCGACTTAAAGTAACATGTTGCGTGGCTGCCACAATTTGTGGTGTCAGTTGGGGGGGGGCCCTAGAGAGTTTGCATGAGGGATCGAACCCAACTTTGGAGGAGGCGAACTTTGGTCGTCGGCGGGTCCTCCTCACAAGGCCCCTCGCCATCGTGAGCTGCTGCAGCCTGCCTCATCATCACCGTCGGAATGTCGTGTGGTTTTTCCATTCCGTTCAGCATGGAGGCCCCTATGTTCATTTCCGCTGGTGGCAATGTTGATATCCGTCTTCATGATCTTCACGGTGGACCTTCTGATGCCGTACCTCAGTCTCGCGGTGGCTGCTCTTCTCAAGTTGAGTATGGCGGTCCTCATGCGGAGCCTGGTGTTCCTGATCGTGCTGGCCCTCAATGTGTTCTTCCTGCTGAAGATGGAGCCGGTGGTCCTAGCATCCCCGAAGTTTGCTGGAGGTTTGTTTCGCCTCGCTGCGTGAGGCCATGATGAAGTTTGGGGTGCAGACGTCGATAATCTTTTGTGAACAAGTTTGTGACGTTCTTTCGCTCTGCGACCTGAGGCCTCGTGATAGGCAGCCAAGTGCTTGGGTTGCACATGGACGAGTGATACGTGAGATCTCGTGGCTGGGCGGTATCCTCATGGAGAACTTCGACGATAGCACTTGGGACATGTGTCAGCACTACGGGTGGCCACTTGATCTCTTCATTGGGCGTTTCGCCACGGTTTTGGAAGTTTGGGTTTTGGGCGCACATGGCGATCCACATCCCTGGTAGTTAGGTATCGTTTCCATCTCGCGGCCTTTCCTGCTTATGTGCAGACGATTGTAGGGGCCTGCGATTTCCGCGATGGCCGCGCCCCCTCGACCACCGCGCAGTGGGAGGGCATGTCGCTAGAGAAGCAGATCCTGAATAAAGTGTTTGGGCGCGACGCGCCAGGATCCAGAGGTTCTCGCCAGTATCTGTTCTTCGATCTTGAGGTTATCGCCGGTTCGTGGTCCTCGGCTTCTGCGCATGCGTCTCGTCTTTTGTTCCGTCTCCGTCAAATGGACGGGGTCTGAGGCCGCGGACCCGCGTTCTCGTGTCCGTCTGTCTCTTTTCGTCTTGTCTCTTTGTTCTGTCGCCTCCCCTCTCGCGTCCTCTCCTCCTGCGTTGTCGTCTCTGCGCTTTGGGGTTGTCGTCGCTTTCCCCCCATCCTCACGATCCTCTTCTTATTCCTCGTGCCCTCGTCGTCCTCCGCTGTCGGTGGAGCGGTGGAACGGCGTCCGTCCAGCTCGGCGCCAGCGGGGGGGCGGTGGGAAAACCATCAGCATTACCATACTCGCCCTCTTCATCCTCATCGCCACCACGAATTCCATCATCATCGTCGTTACCGCCATGGTCAAACTCATCAGGAAAATCAGCATCATTGCCGTCAACATGTGTATCATCAGTACCGCCATCCACAACATCTGGTAGATTCACCGATCATCTGCATTCCCATTAACATTGCCATCATCGCAACCGTCATCATGATGTTGTTTGTCGTAAGCGTCCGCGGTCTCATCCTCACCATCACCAGCTCAACCACCATTACTGTCATCAGATTCATCACCTCATCATCATCATCATCATCATCATCATCATCATCATCATCATCATCAGCAGCAGCATCAGCATCATCAGCATCATCAGCCTCATCGGCATGTTCCTCTCTCCTCCCTCCTCCCCATGGGTGGCCAGAGCTCGCCGTCGCATGGGGTGTTGCATGCCCCTTTTCGCCGCACCTCTGACGCCAGGGCTCCTTCTGCAGGTGGCGCGAAGGTAGAAACAACTACAGCCCTGGGGGGTGCCCTCACCCTTCTAGAGAGTTTCTTGGAACCCTCTTGGGACGTCTCGGGAGTTTCTCTGGCCACCATGTGGCCCCAGTGGGCCGTGTTTGGGTGCATCTTGGGCCGATTTGTAGACATTTGGGCGCCGTTTTGGGTCTTCCTCGGGCCCCTTTGGCCGCTTCGGGGCCATCTCAGCCGTCCTCAAGGCAAATTGGCGGCCATCATGGGCCATCTTGACCAGAGCTGGGGACACCCCACTCAGTGCCTACAGCACATTTGCGAGTACATGTGCACCACCATTCATAGCCAAACCGATCTTGGGCCCAGGATTTGTGTATGTATTCCTGTGCAGTTCAGGAGGGCGTAGACACGGCCCCTGGGTCCAGGACTGGTCTGTCCAGGACCATGGGTAGGTGTGCGGCCGACATCCTCCTGGGTGTCAGGGCGCCAGAAGTGCGGGGTTAACTTCTCCATCCTTCTTGTTTTCCAGAAGGCTGCGAGTGCCTCTCCGAGCAGCCTGTGATTTCGACCTGTGCACTGAATATACCTGCTAATCTTCGAAGACATGATTTGTCCGAGTTCACCGCTTCGGAAGCCGATTCTCTTCGACCCAGAACCCAGAAGCAGCAGACTTGGATAGTTCGGCCTTTGTGGCCCGACAAACAAATCGAATTCCACTGCGTCCCGAGGTCCTGGGAGGTCGGTGCACGAAGTGGCGAACATGGTTATATCCCGGTCTCGGCAGGTTTTCCAACTCCATGCCGGCGCGCCCGCCCTCGCAGCGCGCCCAACCAGGGTTACCCTGGCCGAGACTTCAGGCCTGGTCCGAGGTCGACAAGGCGTTCCTCCTCCTCCTCCGGCTTCTGGCCAGAGAAGGGAAACGGCATGGGGCTAATTTTCGGAGGAAAGTTTCTGGACCGGCGTGGGAGCCCTCCTTGGCGGGCGGGGCGCGCCAGGGACGGCGCCGCCGCGGAGACCCGTCCGCCAATGTAAGACTGCCGCGCGGAGAGCTCCGGGAAGTTGATGTGTGTGCACGGTTCCTCCGTCTCGCTGCTTCCGGATGCTTGGCATTGCTCGGACGTGTGCATTTTTCCTTCGGCGAGGACCATCGAGGAGCATCCTTGATCATTTGGCGAAAAAAACACGCACGAAACCAAACAAAACACAGGGAATGGACGTCCGAGCGATGGCCAGGATGGCTCAGATGACGGCGATGGGATGGGGCCGTCCGCGGTCTTGCGGCGGCTGGCGTGTTTCCGCCCCAGGGGTGTTCGTGGGCTGTCTTCGCTGCCCGCAGGCGGCGTGTTTGCGACCAGTTCCTGCGGCAGCCCTGCGGCGTCTTTTCAGGGGTGGATAGACCTCCTACCCTGACACGCCGATTAGCGAATTGGCCGTATTCGGTTCGCGAGAGGGCGTCGCGGCCGTCATTATTGCGGGTCCAGGTCCGTTGGTTTCGGTCCTAGGTCGTTTTCACTAAATGGAGGTCTACAAAGGGAGGTTTGTCCACCGCCGATCTTTGGTTTTTGGAGAAAGGGTGTCGAAGACCAGGGCTGGACCTAAACGGTGTTTTTGGTGATCTCGTGGGCCGTTTTCGTTTCGACTTCGTTTTGCGGCAAGGGCGGATTCGAGACAAAAGCGACGGAAAACGAAGACAAAACGAAAACGAAAAACACCGTTTAGGTTCAGCCCTGCCGAAGACCTGAGACTCAGTGGGAAAGGATAAAACCTGGGCAGGGGGTCCGAAAATCCGAGGAAGCAGTGGATATGTACATACATCTTGCCCGCGTCCTCGGTGGCTGCTTGACGATTCAGGCGGCGGCGACGGGGCGGGCCCATCCGAGTTCTTGCGGCGGCTGCCGTGCTTCCTCCCCGAGGGGTGCTCGCGGGGTGTCCCTGCAGCCTGTGCTTGCAGCAACCCTGCGGCGTTCTCCTGGGCATTTCTGTGTGCAGTGGGAAGAGTTGGAGGGGAGAGAGGATGGAAGGGGGGTTCGAGGTTCAGAGGTCAGAGGTCGAGATTCGAGGATCGGGAGTCGCTCCCTGGAGGTTTGGGATCGTCCTGGGGCGCCCTCGTGGCCTCGGCCGGGTCCGCCTCGAAGAGTCCTGGACTGAGAACTCGCCCCATGAGAGGTCCAGGAGAGGTCCAGAACACCTGATCAGGGGCAACGTCAGGGGGGATGAGCTTAGGTTGGGACGCATCGACCCCCAGTCGCCCATTGATCGCTGATACGGGCCCGATAGGCCCCCCCCGCCCAGGAGCGTGCGGATTTGCGACGGATGCCTATCGCCGATCTGTCGGCGATGTATAGCCGATTCCAGCTCAGTGTTTCCCCCTTGGGATTGTTCCCCCCTAACGATGTCCCTCAGTTAGGAAGGGGGAGTATGAAGAGACAGAAGATTATGGACGACTACGATGTGTAATAGGAGGTAAGGTAAGCAGGCGTAGGAGGAGGAAGAACAACAGGTGTGCGGAATCGCGCGGAGCTAGAGCCGGTGGGCGGCGGAAGAGGATGAGCAGGCTTGCGAGAACGAGGATGGGGACAGGGCCGAGTGCAATTTGATATTGTTCCCCCGTGCCAACACGCTGCGCAGGAGTGTGACCTTCATGACGAGCTCAGGCTGGCACTCCGCGCTGTCTTGTCGTGCCTCGCTTTTGGGGAGTCACGCCGAGCAACCGTTGCAACGATCCCATCTGATGGTTGGTGGTTGGTCGTGCCATACCTTGAACCGTGCCGCTAAGATCGCTGTGGCAGCCTGCCTGGTCGATTGGAATGTCTGCTTTCCGATCGAGCGTGGCACTTGAGCAATTTCATCAGTGGTGCTGCGGCATGTGCTTCGGCTCGTTGCCAGTCCACCGCCACATCGACGACACGTCGCGCTCGGATGTAGCCATCTCGGTACTTCGGTCGGTCCAGTCGATCTTCGCATGTACGGGTGTTCGTTTTGCTCGCGGCTTTCGGGCCGCATGAACGCCTCTGACGCGTTCATAGGCTGCGTGTGTCACGCGCGTCCTCCAGCAAGAGGATGATCTTCAGGCACGTGAGTCACGCGCGTCCTCTGACGAATCGCAGACTGACGACACACGCAGCACCATGCAGCATGATTCGCAGACTGACGACACACGCATGCCTGTCTTGCCCTGCTCCACGTGCAAGCAGCGTCAGGTGTTGCTTGCGCGGCGCTCGTGCCGTCGCAGGGCGGTGGCACTGCAGCACCAAGCACCGGCGGTGACCGCAGCACGACGCAACGCGTGCTTTGGGAATAATTCGCGCTCACTATGTCAAAACAGATGCCCAATCCCAAAAAAGCGAGGGCCAAGACAAAATGCAGGCTCCTCGAGACTTCGGGGAGGGAGATTTCGGGGTAGGGTTTTACCAGGGCGACGACGACGAACGCAAAACATACCCCGAAATCTTTGGCCGATCTTCGAATCCTCGGTGAATCCGCGATTTTGGGATTGGGGATGTGTTTTTTCGTGGTCACGCGCGCGGTGGACGATGGGGAACGCTTGCCGCGCGATTCTGCTGCGGCTCAGTGGGCCCTGGGGACGGCAGGGCTGTTTCTTTTCACGGGTTCCGCTTTGCCGTTTCTGTTGCCAGGTTCCGACGCTGTTGTTTTAC